CGACGCTCTTCTTATCATAGAGATATGTTTATATAACTATATACAGGTATATGTATATATATATATATATATATATATACGTATATGTATATATACAGTATATTTGGTGGTGGCCATCTTGGATTTTGATGTGGCAGCCCAGTATTTTGATAGGGAGCTTTCTTACATCTAGATGCAGCCACACACCAAAATGAAAACCTGCGCCTCACTTATATTAAATTATCCATCTCATAAGACAGACAGAGAGTATTTCTTAATGGCCTCCACGACAATAAACAAACACAAACAAAAAGTTAAAATCTCACATCTTCCAGCGGGTGATATTTCTGGTAGAAAGTTGAGCCACTTCTCGGGTCGCTGGAGTCGTTCCTCATCTGTATTTCTATCAGCTCAGCAGCGTTGGCTAACAAAACCCTAAAATGAAATAAAACATTTAATCTAATTGTCCATCTTGACTTTACCGTGGCTCCTATGAGAGTTCATGCTCAGACAGGTAACATACTCATGTGTGATGCCATGTTGCTGTAGCAGCTTCCTGACCCTCTCCGAGCTGTTTGCAGGGACATAAAGGTGGACCGGAGCCTCCTCCTTAATGTACACAGGTGAAACAGGCTGCCATAAAGCTGTCTGAGAGGAAAACAAGTGTCATGATTCAGTGCAGGAAGTTATATACATGTAAATACTGATCAATTTTAAATATTACTTCATATTGGGTGGACACGTTCTTCAGAACCTCCACTTGCTCTTGAGTGTAGGGGGTAATCGATAGAACCTGATCACTGATAGAAATGTTTTCAAATGTATTAATCCACTTACAACTGAAATTAGGACACACTTAGAGCGTACACGCCACAGTAAAGTTTCATGAGTTTACACAAATGTGCCCTTTTCTCTCAGCGACATAACCTTTAAACTCAGTTAAAGCAACACTTTACTACTGTTTATTCGCATCGACGACGAGGATTTACCGTGTTTCAGTGCAGTGTCCAGTCTTCACAAACAGGTCCAAATTCATAAAAACAAACAATATCAAAAGAATCGCCATGATGCCAGGGTCCAGACTGAAAAACAATTAATGTTTGTTCAAACTGTGGGGGCAGGGGGACACATTATTGATTGAACCTGTGTTTATTCAGAACTTCTTTTTGTCTTGAAAGTAGGCTGTGAAATAGCACAAACGATCAGCTTTATATTTATATTAATTAAATGTCACTTTACAGTGTCTATTTTGCTAATATTTAAATTAATTTCTTTATTTAATATGCTGCACATAAAAGTGCATGCAGTACCACATCCAGGCCACTAGATGGCAACAAATAAAATAAAAGTTCGCCGTTAGGGGGCAGCAAAATAAAATAAATGTGGCGCAGTACTTCTTCCTTGCCGCTAGGGGGCGGAGATAAATTGACGTCACAGATGAGCGACGAATTCAGGTTTATTTGTTTTTATCGCATTAAAGATGTCTGCTCACGATCAACTTGTCCTGTGTTTGTGTGAAATAACGAGGTAAGCTACGTTTTAATAAGAACCAAATGTTAATTCTCACTTTTAAAAACAAAATTAGACATTTTTCCCTTTCTGTTTGAGCTACTGTTGGCGATGTTTAATGAAGAAAAACAGAAATTCTGATATTATTCGTGTGTTTTAAGCTAATTCACCTGTATAAATAAACACAAAGCTGTGCGTTATAGTAACATTTTCATATGAACAGTTATTTGGAGCAGCATCCTCATCAGTCTTCTGAATATTTATGTTACAAATTGAGTTTGTCAAGAAAAGTTGCAATTCTGAATCTGAAAAAACTTCCACTTTAAATTCTCACTCAGAAAAATTACGCCCAGGTTTTTTATAATGAAGTGATTTTGCTGAAATTAAGACCCCAAAAACCAAAAATGTCCATTTGTGGTCATTTATTAACCTAAATTATTACCATATTTTCCACTGTACACGTCGCATCAATCCAAATAATCTAAAAAAGTGGAAAAATCCATAAATATGTCGCATCGCTGTGTGGGTCGCATCTATCATGCGTCACCGCTGACAACCCGGAAATATGGACTGGTGTTGTGCCAAAAATCGATCGGCTACCAAGTGGCGGTCGCAGGAGCGTGCACGGGAAGACTTTAACAAGATTAACAGTTAAAAAAACAATTATTTGTTTGCTCGAAATTATAGCAAAGGTGTGTCTCAGTTAAACTTTTACTTTAATGGTCAAATTAGCTGCATTTCGCTCGGGCGGTGCAGCTGTTTGACTTGTTCCTAGCAGCAGCAAGCAGAACGAAGATGGGGATTGTATGGCAGGCCGATTGTGTCATTAATAGCTGGTGAGGATTCTCAGTCATCCAGGATATGGTAAATTCAAAATAGTTCAAGACAAAAATAAAGTATAATAAATAAAGTCCAGTTGTTTTTGTCTTGAACTGTCTTTGAATTTGTCATTATAGCCACTTTTCCGTATTCCGTGATACAACGGCATGCCGTACTTCTACTACTCTGCTGCCATCTAGTGGCTGAAAATGGTACTGTTCCATTCTTTCATTCAGGATGAATGAAAACTGTCATATCTCAGCCAAAATTGGTTTATAAATATGGGGAAAAAAAATCCATAAATACGTTACTTGAATGTAATGTAAATTATGCAAAAAGTTACTTTTTAAAAAAAATACTTATACAGCGAACAATACGGTACCCTGAATAGCACGTGTGTAGTCTGTGAAGTGTCATTTCTCATGATCTGTGTTTTTTCTTTAAACCCTTGTCTTTTGACGGCGTGTATAAAATCTTGTTGACAAAGTTGCCCCTCTTTGTTTCAGGTTGCTGTGGAAATTGCTGCTCCCGCTGGTGTTCCTGTGTGTGCTTCTCATCGCCGTCCTGGTCCTGCTGGTGTCGGCAGTTCGCTTCTGGCTGCAGAGCAGCAGGAACGCCCGGCGGGCGAGGGAACGCCGTGCCACCGTGGCGTTTTTCCACCCGTACTGCAACGCTGGCGGCGGGGGGGAGAGGGTCCTCTGGTGCGCCATCAGGGCGTTACAAAACAGGTGAGGTTGACTTCTGTAGAAGTTGTCTTTGAGGATCTTCAGGCTTCTGATGCGTTGACCCATCTGCAGGTATGCGGATGTGAACTTCGTGGTGTACACCGGGGACCTGGGGGTGACGGGGCAGCAGATTCTGGACGGAGCCAGACGCCGCTTCAACATCACGCTCCCCCGGCCGGTCCAGTTCGTCTTCCTGCAGCATCGAGTGCTCGTGGAGGCCAGCCTGTTCCCTCACTTCACCCTGCTGGGTCAGAGCGTGGGATCCATTTTTCTGGGATGGGAGGCGCTGACAGAGTTTGTCCCGGACATTTACATAGACTCCATGGGTTACGCCTTCACTCTCCCCCTGTTTCGCTACCTCGGGGGCTGCAGCGTAGGCAGCTACGTTCACTACCCTACCATCAGCACTGACATGCTGTCTGTGGTGAGGGAGAGGAACCCCAGGTAATCGCTTCCTGCTCCAGTTATGGGTCGTATGAACAGGAGGTGAATGTGGTTCAACTTTAGGAGCAAACGATGAACGTAGGACATAAACGGCTTCAGATCAGGGATAAACTGCTGGTTTGACATTTTTAAACAGAAAGATCATGAGGCTTAAATTAAAGCAAAACAGTCGCTGGCAGATTTGTGTTCGTCACCCAGCTCCTACGTTGAGCTGAATCAGGTTCTTCCTCTGGAGATTTGTAAAACCAGGAGTCAGATGTTTGTACAGCTGACCCTGAAGCCCCGTCTCCGGGTGGTGATGTGCAAATGAAGCAGTAGTGAACCACTTCTTCAGCTGTAAAGACTGGTCGGTCTGTTAATTCTGTAAATGCACGTAGTCGGGGCGTGCTTGTGAAACTACGAAGCGGTAGAGACTGGTAGGAGCGAGTCACCTCATCCAGTCGGGTCAGAACTTCTTCAGTCATGCGTTTTTCTGCACCACAGCAAGCTTTGAAGCTGCGGTTCAAGGAAACTGCAGCGTTACAGATGAGTTAAAACTTCAGGATGGTTGACCTTTGTAGTAACCTCTGAAGCACACGTGGGCAACTTAAGGCCCGAGGGCCAAAAGTGGCCGTTGGACAATCTCCATCAGGCCCCCAATATCCTTAGCAAAAAACAAAACAAATTTTACAAAAAAAAGATTGATTAAAATAAAAACAGCAATTTATCAACGAGACTTGAGGAAATTTAAATTATGCATTTTACACCAAACTTAAAAAAAGCCCTATTTTTTTAAAGTAATCTCATTTCCATAACTAGACTGAACCTTAAGGACTTACACGTTAGCTTAACATGTTATACACGTTAGCTTAACATGTTACACGTTAGCAGAAATATGTAAAACTTAAACATATGTTTGTGTTGCTCATGTTAAGCTAACGTGTACGACATGTTAAGCTAACGTGTACGACATGTTAAGCTTACGTGCACAGCATGTTAAGCGAACGTGTATACCTTGTTAAGCTTACGTGCACAGCATGTTAAACGAACGTGCACATCATGTTAAGCTAACGTGCACGTCATGTTAAGCTAACGTGCACGTCATGTTAAGCTAACGTGCACGTCATGTTAAGCTAACGTTCACGTCATGTTAAGCTAACGTGCACACCATGTTAAGCTAACGTGCACGTCACGTTAAGCTAACGTGCACGTCATGTTAAGCTAACGTGCACGTCATGTTAAGCTAACATGTGTATACCTTGTTAAGCTAATGTGCACAGCATGTTAGGTTAACGTTTACAGCATGTTAAGCTAACTTGTGTATAACTTAACTTAA